GAAGAAGAAGAAGAAGAAGAAGAAGAAGAAGAAGAAGAAGAAGAAGAAGAAGAAAATTCTATGTTAATAGGAAATAAATTTGTCCAATTTACTATATAATTATGTGATTAGTTATGGGAAATGGTTGAATAATGTTCCCTAATATCCGCCCATAAATAACCAACCCAAATTTATGATTCTAGCATATTTGCAAATAAAAATAATTCTTGCAGCAATTTTATAAATATTTTTATACCAAATGTATTTTTGCAAATAAAATGATATAATACGGTGGAGGATATAATTTTCTCCAATAATTATACAAATTAAAGCGGAGAATGAATATCAACTAACATAAAATAGTTTTTAATAGTAATATTGTAACGCCCCGTTTTATTTTTAAAGGATTCATCGAATTTATTTATAAAAATCAATGTAATTTTTTTTTTTTAATATTCTCAACTTAAATTTAAAACTCAACGGTCGCTACTTAACTACCATCAACAATTAAACAAGTACGAATAAACATATAAATCTACGCATGCATAACCTAACATTTATAAAAGATAAAACCCACTTATTCATAAATCTCAAACCAACCAGAATATTTAACATGTATCATCGGTTCATACACCATAATCAAGATGTTCCAAAGCGGATGCATAAATATTCCAAAATAAACAAGGAAAATAATCATAATAGTTCATCAATTCATAATAAGACGGAAGCATATAATAAAAGTAAGACGTCGACCAATGACCCACATCTTGCTCGTCTTTACGCCACCGCCACCTGCCCGGTTCAACCTAAAGGAAAAGGAAGAGGAGACAACAGAAAAATAATGGGGGTGAGCATAACCAACAAGCTCACCATTATCGCACAGTTATCAAGTATAGAGCATTTTTAAAACATTTTTCACAGTATGCATAGATACCAAGGTCTAAACTCCATACTCAGCCCTATCGCAAACCTCCTATGTACATACAACAACCTCTCAGATACAACGACATGGAAGTAAATGGAAACCTTCCCACCCCCGGGTACAACGGTTCGTAGGATCCTTTCCAGGAGACAGTGGAGATGTTTTTCCCCTTTCGTGTACAACGGCTTGGGGCGTCTCCTCCCGGATACAACGGGCAGGTGACCTCCCATTGTTTTCGCATTCATCTAAGGCACTATTGTACGGGACACCTAGACTAGGGTTCTCACGCATTCAACAATTTTCAAACGAAGCATTATACGAATAAAGAGTGCAATAATTATGGAGTACATCACAAATGTACCCACCTGTTTGCAGCCATAGTTCACAATCACGAATCTCGAAAGCAGGCGAGGTCAACACCTCTAGACATGCACATTAAGTTCTGACAAAAATAGCACTTTAACGTAACGATAGCGATAGCGAATAAAATAGCCATGCATGAAAAAAAAACAAAAAAAATTCCCCATATTTTTTAGTTTCTGACAATATTTTTCGGTTATTTTAGTTCATTTAATAATTTATATATTTTGAGTATCTCGAACAAAATTGAAAGAGTCGAGCTATATGAAAAATATCAGTATTATGATTTATATAGTTTTATGTATTGCGATTGCACATTATAATTATATGGATTGCACCTTAATGACTATATATGATTGCACAATATTAAAAAGCAACCAACTAAAATTGTCGGTTCAAATTTGGATATTTGGATCAATTATTACTTTTATTATTATTATTTTTTTACTTCTAGAAAACTCAATACTGCACTTTATAAATTATTATGTTGCACTTTATAAATCAACACGTTGCATTTTACAACGCACTTTACAATGTAACACGATGCACTTTATCACGACACTCCACAATT